GATATCGATATGGTAGTAAATATGAACACGTCACTACACACTACTACATCAATATCGCACGCATACATACTCACAAATCGTCGGTAAAACAGCGAATTTTTGGAGTTGATCTCGGGTTTAGGTAAAAGTGATGCTATTTTCTTCTGTAAAAGAAAATGATTTTTTAAAGCTTTATTTCCAAGTAATAATTCAATTTTTATGAGCCAACATTATTATACTATTTTTTTTTTCAAAGTACATACATTCAAATATTATTAGTCTAAAAGCTTAAAAAACTTTATTTACTTATATAAAGGTTAAGAATTATTATTCGATATCACATTTTTTCAAAACATTTATATTTAAATCTGTATAAAATAAGTAAAATACAATCCTACTTCTATTATGATCTCAGGAAATGGATTAAAATAAATTGGAAAAATTCATTTTAACATTCGCAAATATTATACTTTCGTACTTCTGGAAATCTGAATTCATTTTACTGCCTTATAATGCTTTTGTATTCATTTATAGGAACTGCATGAAGCACATTTTTATGCCATTCAATCCAAAAATATAAGTTCAGTTTTAAAAAGTAAATCGTGAATACTGGCTAATTTAAAATTCTAGATAGGAAATGTAGTTTTGTCAATCTAAATAAATTCAAAAGAAGTTTAGTTTATAATAAAATATATTTTTCCGATAAAAACAGAAATGTTTTGAAAACTCCACTTTTTTGGGGTAAAGTTGTCTCACAAATCTAATTAATTATTCAATTTAATGGAAACACGTTGTTATTCAATTTAATAAAAAAACTATTTAACAATTGAAAATTAATTATAATTAAGTTACTGTTTTGTAAAACGTCACTTTTTCGAAGAAAAGCTGCCATTTTTTTGTTATTTCATGAAATGAAGTGAAATTAACTTACGTGATTTTTTAGTTAAAATGATGTACTTTAATAAAAAATTATTGTTGTTGCAGAAATAGAAAGTAAAATATTTTTTCCAGAAGTTGGGATATTTTCTGTTTATTTAATTATAATTTGAATCTTTTTAATAAATCTTAAGAAAAATAATTTCAATGAAAATTAGGTATTTTAAGAACAAATGTTGCCAATATATTTTATATAATTATAAAGTGAATTATTAATAAAAATCGTTTACATAATTAAAATTATATTAAAAAGTACTGTTTATATTATCACGGAAGTTAAGACAGAAAATAGATTGACTAAGATTAGACATACAAATGTTTTATATGTTATTATAATGTAAAAAAGGGAACATATTATAATGTTTATAACGTAATGTAATGTAAAAAAAGGAACATATTACAATGTATATAAATGTGTAAAATGCTAAAAGTAGGCACCGATCTAGCACACATTATTTGAATACAAGTGCGAATATGCATCACAACGAATTTGCAAAGTTAATATTTTGTTAATCTGCACGAAACTGAAACTGTGCATGTTCGTACCTGTCACCTGAGGTACTGAGCATATTTAACATAGTGAGAATAAGCCGCGACAAATGTCTCTGTGCAAATGCTATTAATTCGAAAATTTTCGCGGTGCGAATTCGCACTCTTGTACCATTTGAAGTTTAATCCTCTTATTAAAGAGATTTAAATATTTATTTTATTTTTAATTATAGTTTTATATTTTATTTAAAAATATCTTGAGGCAAAATAGAGTAGTATTATTATCTACCATTAGGATTCAGTGATATGAATAAATATAAGTAGAGCTAGCAAATTGTTTGAAATATTTTAAATGGACTTTACTATGCTCAAAAGTAGAAGGAAAAATTTTATTATATATAATAACTGCAATAAAAATTATTATATCTGGCAAGGATAGAAAATAACTCTAGATATATACTCTGAAGTCTCTGATATCTCATTGAAATTTAGAAATTCTATTATTTGTAGAATTAAGAAATCGAATCATAACAGCCTTAGAAAAAAAATTAGTCCCTTCAATAATTTGTAGCAGCAGAAAGTTTGTTGTCACTAGGCTGTGTGCTTGTGAAATTAATTTGACAATGAGAAGTCTTTCAGATCTTTATTATCTGTAAAACTTTTTCTGTTGTTTAAATTAAAATAGGACCTTGTATATGTATAGGTATATACAAAACATTTTTTTCTTATTTAAACGTAGAATCTAAAATGCTTATTAAAAAGTTATAGCAAAAATATGCAAGAAACAATAAGCTCGTTTATTGGTTGACTTGATATCAACAGACTATCCGTGTTTCCTGATAATAGCATTAAACTAAAATAACTGAACTTTGTGGAAAATACGCTTTAAAAACCAATATTGATAGTACAGAAGATACTTTATAGTTAGTATTTATAGTTAGTATCTTTTTTAATACAAGGAAATTCAAATGTTAAAGCCAGAGGCATGATTTTCTGTTGTCCGATCGAGCTAAAATTTGGTATTCTTTATTTTGGAAACATTCTGGAGGATGCCACGGAAAAAATTTTAAAGTCGAGAAAAAATGAGAATCACCCTAATATATATAGGATTAATATTGATTTTATTTGTTAATCAATTTTAAATGACATAAGAAGTTTAATTTAAAACGTAATTAAAATAGATATTAAAAATTTGTTATAGTGAGACAATAAAATTGTCCTTGAATAAATTTTGGTTAGGAAAATTTTTTTATATTACAAGCGATACTTTATTGTGTAATTTTTTTTTAAATATAAAAATTAATTGTTGATTTTTTAAAAATTATCTATTTAAAGTTATTTAAATTTAAGTTAAATTTAATTTAAAAGTATAAATTATGTTTGCATACAGACATACATATCACATATGAAGCTTATATCCAAGTTTGCTGTGAGCATCCCTGCTGGATTAAATGGTATTCATACTCCATTTGTCTATCTGTGGAGGATTATGCGAATTTATGCTTTGAAACCAGAGGTGCTAGTTTGTAGTATGATTCTGGCAATTATTCTGTTTTACATACAAGCCGTGGATATCTGGAGCAGAGCACTTCTAGGAAAAATACAACATACCTTAGGCCGCACAACATCTAAGGTACAAATATATTTTTAAGACGCATTATAATAATTTATACTTTAATTTATATGATAGATTACGTTGATAATAGATTAAAAATTGTTTTATTTAGTTGAAATAAAATAAAGCAATTTTTTCAATATTTAATTATAATATTGTCTAATTAAGAGTTTAAACTGTAAACATTTTTAATCTTTACGTTTTTTCACATACATATATATAGTATTTAAAATTTTTATCTGAAGTTGTTAAGATAGAATAATTTTCTTATGAAGATATTGTTGTCTTTTTTTCTTTTATGTTATGTATTTTTTGTACAGGTGTCTACACTGAAATTTTTAGTTAATGATTCAGTGAATACTGGAATAAAACTTAATTGGGAACTAAAACAGGATCACATTGCAGCATATGCTGTGCAAGGACATAGAGCTCGGATGGAAGACCGTTTTGTGGTGAACGATGACATGAACAATACTGGAGTTTCTTTATTTGCAATATTCGATGGCCATGGTGGAGAAGTATGATTAAATTATTTATTGTATCGTCTTTTTTAACATAATTTCATAATCTTGTAAAGAATAATTATTAAGCGTAAGGATAAAAAAATATAATTTATATGCTTGTTCACAGATTTTTTAGTCTATTAATCTTTAAAAAAAGAACAAAATAATATACTTATAATACCGAGTATCTGACTATAAAGGTCGGAACAAAACTTATATAGTGTGTTAAAGTCGAATAGGTGAAAAAAGTTCATATGAATTATGACTTGCTTTGCTGTTAACTAATGCACAGCCATTTATACCCGCGTCCAGTGTTTCAGCATTTCAGAATGTTTATTTTGCAAATATTGAAAAAAACCTCGCTCCAAATTGCCATATGCAATGAACAGCAATGAGTTATATATCAGAGTGTAGGTCTGTTTGAGTACTTGAATGCGAAAAAAAGGTTCACTTAAGGGAGGAATCTAGTATAACCGGTTCAAAAAATCGAAAACTTTTTTGTTTTAATCAATAGTAATCTATGTAAAAAATATATTTCCAAAGTTACAGAAATTCAAAATTTTGAAGAACCTCAATTTATTTTTTGCGCGAAGGCGTGCAATTTTTTTTTAAATTACTTTTTTGAAATTTTTAAGAATTAAAGATTACTCAGAAACTGTTTAATGAAGTTTTACCGATGCATACATGTAGTTTATTAAATTCATTCGCCAATAAACCTAGAAAATTAATAAAATAATTAATTTAAACAATTTTTATTGCATAAATAAAATAAAATTTTTTTTCTTGTCAAATTAATTTTTTTAAAGTGTCGCCATTTTCTCAATTAAAAAAAAATTAATTTTTTCTAATTTTATTGGTTCATCGACCGACATAATTTCACAAAAAATAAATTCTTTTGTATTTTTGTTTCAGACAAATACAAAAGGCGCTACAACTCCCGCCAATTTAAAACTTTGGCGAGGAGATTTGCAGTTGCTATAAAATCAGTTATTTTTTAACAAAAAATATTTGCTGATATTTTTTACAAAAAATTTCTTTACATGTTTGGGGAGAAGAGATTCTTATATAGATGCATATTAGCATCAAAAGATATTAAATTGCTCGTCAATTTAATTTGTTACAAGTATAGATTTCGACTTCATATAAAAACTGTGTTTCAAAACCGACAAAAATACAGCGCACAGTTTGTATGTATGTGGTTGGAGATTGTAAAACAATAAAAATTATAACATTCGTACGTGTCGGTTCGCATAGGCATTACTTAACTATATTTGATTTATTTTTGGGAGCCTAATTTTTTAAATTTAAATTTAAAGAAATATTTTAAAAAATATGTTATAAAACAAAAAATCTTTAAAAAAATTCGTTGTATATTTAAAAAATTCCATAAATTATCTTTTTAGCGGTTTATACCAGATTTCTCCCTTTCTTTATTGTATGCGCTAAGATACAGGGCGTTGAAACATTAATTTAACATTCGGCAGACTCATCACAAGAGTTGACGAATGTTTTAAAAATGTCTTCTACATATTCAGATGGTGCTTTTATAGATCCACCGAGATGCCGAGCATAACCTAGATATCATATTATGATAATTATGTGAGCACAACAGCCAACAGTCCTCTCCGTACCAGAGGCTGGCCTGATCCACCTGGTACATCCGTCGTTGCGTGTCTTTCCCTCCAGGATGGACTCCAAAGGCATCAAATTGCATCGGAACACTTAATTTTCTTGCTATGACGGCATAGCATGCGATCAGGGATTTAGCTGGACAAAACCACGATTTTGTCCGTTATTATCATCATCACCACGAGGAGGTGCTCTGGACGCAAGAAAATTAGAGTCCCTCTAGTTAGAGTTGAGACATAAGCAAGCTCTCTCGCGATTGGTCGGCGCCATGTCTTGACCAACTGATGTGTTAGTGAAAAAGGTGAATACGTGTGAATACGTGAAGCCAATTTTTCTTAGTGTGAGGCACCATGTCTGGACTAACTGATGTGTTAGTGAATAAGTGAATACGTGAAGGCCTCACACTACGGTCTTATGTCTTGACTCTGACTAGAGGGACTTTAAAGAAAATTTATATATATTTATACATACATCATTAAGACCCATTTTCAAAATATATGATTAACGAAAAAAGTAACTAAAACTTGAAAATTAACTAAAACACACGTAAGCTTATAGTCAAATAAACTAAAGATTATGTGCAGGCCCGGCGATTTGTCTCGGTTCTAAGTGTGGAATACTGTGGAATTTTCTGATGAAAAATCTCTCTCCCCGCTACTCCACTCACTCCACCAGTAGTTGAAAAAATTTTCAAGTACACAAATTTTTTCTTTTAATTATTTAACTTGAAGAAATTGAGGCTTGTATAATGAATAATCATAAATAGCCAATAATGCATCTTTGCGAGCCGACATGGATGATGGTGTGTAATAATTTTTACTGTTACAATATCAAGCCACATGCAAACTGTGCGTCGTATAAACTGTCGATCTTAAAACACAGTTCTTACATGAGGCCAGAATTCATTGTAACGAATTAAATTGTTGAATAATGTAATAATTTCGATGCTAATAATCTATATCATCTATTAAAAATCTTCTCCCCCCAAATCTGTAAAGAATTTATTGCGAAAAATATCTAAGATTCTTAATAGATAGCTTATTAGCATCGAAACTATTAAATTGTTCGACAATTTAATTCGTTACAGTGGATTCTGTCCTCATGTAAGAACTGTGTTGTAAGACCGACAGTTTATGCGGCACGGTTTGTATGTGGCTTGATATTGTAACGGTAAAAATTATTACACATCACATCCGTGTCGGCTCGCAAATTAATTAAATTAATTATTGATTATTTATGATTTAATTATTTATTTTTTACAATTAAAAACGGATGCTTTATAATTATTTTTACTTATAAATTCATTTAATTAATTTATTAATGTCATCTATTACAGCCTCAGCTAAATCTCTGTGACCGGGTGTAAATTTTCCGGGTGTGGAAATCCACACTTACCTGATTTTTGGATGTGGATTGCTCCACACAATCCACACATAAAACGCCGGGCCTAGTTACGTGTACATCAGTTGAGTTACTATACACATCAAGTTAACTTGATGATCAAGTCCTAATAAAACATGGTTAAAACAATAAACTTAGTAATTTTTAACCTTTAGGTAACCATACATTGTGAAAATGGGCCTAATATACTTAAAAAATTGTAATTGAAGAAGACAATGCTTTTTACCAAAACCCTCGAATTTAGCAAACAAGAGATCATATCGATCATTATAGTACATTTGACACTTTATTTAACTTCCACGCATACAATGTAGCAACTTGGAACTCTGGTATTATTTTTACACTTATCCTACCCTGTACATAGATACATAAGTCAAAGCTGTTCGCTCCACAGATTTCTATAGAATATCTAGATCGCTAACATGCTATAGTTTGTTACTAATTGTGTATAGAAATCTGTGGTTTGCTCATGGCCATGGCCACGGCCAAAATATATAAATCGGAACGAGGTTCTTTTAATTCTGCGCTGAGATAGGATTTATTCTCTAGATTTAAAAATGTAATCCAATCAGCAAACCATTTATTAAGCTGACTTTTGTCAAACATATACTATTGTATTGTTCAAGTATATCGATCTGAGCTATTTGTAACAATTAAAGTCACTAATTAAAGATTAAAATCTAAAATACGAGGATTAAAAATCTTGAGATCTTCCTTTAAAAACTCAAAAATTATTTATTGACAACCTTTCGAAAAATAATTATAACTTGGTACTATTTATATTTATATATTTTTTATAAATTTTTTTATAGTTTTATAATGGTAATCACCAAAATTTTTTGGATATTGAAGTGTGTAAAAAATCACGATATTTATGTATTTTGACGTATCGGAATACATAATTTTGTTAACAAGTAAGATGAAGTGATGAAGCCAATTTTGATTTAGTATTCTCTAGATATTCTAAAGATATAATAATGCATAATGTAATCTGAGCAATTTTTAGTTGTAATATAAAACAAATATGTAGATTTTTGTTTGTGATCAAAATTATATAACATTAGAATTTGATATTATACTGAGTATAATATCAAATTTACTGATATTATACTGAATTTGAAACATATGCACTACTATGTAGAAGTATTAAAATTGTAATTTTAATATTAAACAAAACTAAAATCTGAAATTTATTCATCTTTTATGTTACACAATTATAGCTTTGAAATAATTTTCTCATTTTTTCTTTTTTTAATAAAAAGAAATAAAATATTTTAATTCACAATTTAATTGTGTGTGTTATCTCTTTTTAGTTTGCAGCTAACTACGCTCGTGATAAACTTATCTCCAATATTAATAAAAAAGTTATTGAATTGAAAAACTTCCTGGCTGGCAAAACATCCGTTTATCAAAATGAACTGACGTTAAAAGAGCCAGAAAAAAAGAAAGACGAAAATAAAAGAGATGAAAAATTTCTAGAACGAAAAAAATCTTTTCGAAAAGTTGTAAGTACGTCTTTGACGGATGACTGTATGAAGAAAGCTATTGAGGTGACTGATCCAGAATTACTTGATAAATTGGAGAGCATAACACCGATTACAAGAGAGGTAAATATAATACAAATAATTGAAATAATATAAACAAATTAAGATTAGGCCAAACTAACGAGCTTATTTAAACTAGTATAACAGCGTTTTTTATTACAATAAAATTTCTAATAAGCATTATACATAAAAAAGATCAACGCTATACATGGTACATGTTTCGACCTAGATTGGACTTCTTCAGGCCATCTCAACGAATAATAATTACAGATAAAATATTAAACCATAATATATAAATTAATACGTTTACACCCATAGGGTCAAATTTAATAAGAATGTGTTACAATTATGAGAAGTCGTCGATGTAATCCGATTGAAACATTCGTTCCGGCCCAATTTCATTGTCTGGTGTATAAAAAAATCCAACAAAATGGTCAATCAGTTGGCAAGGATTGAAAAATCATTATTAAAGTCAGAATACGAAGCTAAATCTTCCAGAAGCAGCTTTCAGAATAAAGATTTCAATAATGAGTGAGAGAGAAATTAAAATCGAACTGTTCCAAATGCCAAGTACAGTGAACGTAATAATGAAATAATACACTAAAATATACTTCAAATTATAATATATTAGTAGTATTTATATATGTAATATGTAATAAACACATATAGATACCGCTAAAAATTCGGGGCCACCTAAATAATTTCTGAATGGTTTGAGATATTGGATTGAAATTTACAATGGTATCATGATGAAATCTATAGGTAATTTAACCTTGATAACACTCACTTCAACTCTCCAGGAGGGGCGGAAGGAGAAAGAAGTTGATCTTAAAAATGGCATGTTGGGTCAAGTGAAGGCTTGTTTGAAGGGTTTTTTTGAGACGAGAAGTTTACGTGAGGTCGTTGAGATCTCTTTTTATTCGCAGAGTTGCACTCATTTGAACATTAGTGTTATTTAACATTAGCTTATGACGAGGACGTGAGGAAGATAAAGTTTCGCACATGTCCCTCACACACGCGCGCGCTCTTCCACATGTATTTCCATCCACTCAAGAACATGCGCAAAACCTTATCTTCCTCATGTCCTCGCCGTGGGCCTCGCTATATAGTGCTAAATAACACCAATGTTCAAATGAGCATAATTCTGCGAAAGAAAATTGTAGAGACCTGAACGACCTCGCGTTCTTCTTGTCTCGAAAAACTCTTTGAAACGAGCTCTCATTCGATCCCATATTGCCAATTAAGATTTTCGACCCCCTTCTCCCCCCGTCCGTCTCGGAGAGTTAAAGTGGGTGTTTTCAAGGTTAAATGATAAATTACATAATGCTATTGTAACCCTATTAAATTTTTGATAAATTTCAATCCAATATCTCGAACCATTCAGAAATTATTTAGGTGCAGGTCCCGAATTTTTGGCGGTTTCTGTCTAATATACAGTGTCTAGTATACAGTGAGGGGCAAAAGTTCTGGAACGGCTAATTATTTCAGAAAGTATTGGTTTTATGGAAAAATCTTTCAAACAAAAATTATAGGTTTAAGAAAATCTATTAGCTGGTGATATTTATTTGAGCTTTGGTTGACCTTGAAAAGCGCGGTTAAGGTCAACATAAAAATTTTAAATGTAAACCTCTATTTTTCATTACATATTCTTGTAGCTGATGTCGAGAGTTTTTCAAAATTGTGATGAAGTTATTTTTCAAGTACTTTACCAGCTAACAGGCACACGTCAAAATTTGATCAGGGAATGATAAAAAATGACCAATGTAATGACATTAAAATGATGGGAAAACTAATGTTACGGACCGATGACGACATTTTAAGACGTTAAAAAGACGTACGTGACTTTATAACTATTTTGAATTTTTTTAAATTACGTTTTAGTGGACGTCTTAATAACGTAAAAGATTATAAAAATATAAATCAAAATTACATACAAAATTATTATTAAATTGACTATCACCTTGCTTACTGCTGCAAACTTTTCGCGTTCTGTGTATAAGAGTCATTATTATTTATCACATGGATTGAAATTCAATCTTTGACAACATATGTCAAGATCAAGGTCAAACGTTATTGCTCTTGTTTTCATTTTTGAAAATTATTTTTATTTTTTGAAAAGAAGAGGAACAACCTCCAGTCATCACCTTTACATATATATGTTGTACTTACGATCCTGAACAACATTCAAAGTTTTAGCCATTATTTGAACACCTTGGATAATGCTAATGCCGGCGGAATTGTAACTTTCAAGCTTCATAACTCGAGATTTACTTAAAGTGATGCTGGAAGGTCCGGAAAATTTACACGAGATCGATAAAAGTTTGTTCAATTTCATTAATATGTACCTTTAAATGAACTTCTTACAATATCTTCTGTCTTAGTCAAACACGTACATTGTCCTTATCTAACTTATTGAAGCGCCATCTCTTGCATAATCCGGCACTTACTATTAGGCATAATTTTTGTTGTTTTTACTATTTCGTATTTTGGCTATGCGTACGAAATTACCACAAATTGCAGTTTAGTGGATATCTTTTTTTCTACGCTTTCAATCTTAGCTCAAAAGGCTTTATTGTATTATTTGTTCATGTAATTTGTGGTGTTAGACGTAAGCATTTTGTACATATGAGCTACAGAACTTTTACAATAATGAAATGTTTATGTCAGGTTA